CAGCTGGGATTCAGTCTGACCTTCTTCATCCTCATGAAGGCCTGAACAACAATCTGAAGAATCTCCTGCATCTCAGCTTGGTTTTCTCCAAAGATGTTGATCAAGGTCAGATTTGCAAGACCAACAACAAATGTGGCCAATTCATTGTCATGATGTCTTGTTGATCTTCCAGCCAGTTCTAGAACATGAAGACCTTCAGTATCAACAACCAGAATAAAGTCAAAGTTCATCTGTGTTTTCATCTCGTCCCATCATCTCTGCTGCAAGACTCGGGAGAGAAGAGAAGTGAATCTGCAGGTCTTTCTTGTTCTCATTAACAGATGAACATGATTCATAGATCTGACCGATCTCCCTCATGATGTGCTCCAAACCAAGGGCTGCAGCTTGAAGATCCTCAGATATTCTCTCAAGTTCTGATTGTTTAACTGTCAGCTCTTCTGGTTCATGTTTCTCTTTCAGTTTTAAAACCGTTGACCATGTTTCATAATATTTGTGATGAAGAACAAACAAGTCAGCAGATGTATATTCATCCAGGAGTATTCCGAGCCATTTAATGAAAAACATCGTATGTCCAGTATCTGAGGTAATTTCTTTAATGAAGAACTTTATAAACTCACTGATATCAGTTTTATGCTGCATTTCACGGATATTCTTCATCTCTTTTTGTTTTCTGCTGATGTCCATTTCTATCTCATCTCCTTTAGGTCGATGTAGTTCTTTGTTCGTCTGACTCCACTGATGCCACAGTTTCCCCTGATGAGGCAGAAACGATTCTTTGATTTCTCTCAGATCTTTCTTCTCCAGTAAACTCATCATCTGCTGTGCTGCTTCTCTTCCTCTCTTGCAGTCATCATCATCTTCCTCATCTACTCTGATGTCTGAGTGTTTCGACACATCTTTAAGTCTGAAAGTGGAAGATGATTCTGAGAGACAATCTTTTATAGCTCTTCTGAGTTCACCAGATACTTCTGACTGATTTCTGTCTTTCAGACCAATCTTATATTTTTTCTTCAACAAAGTTACAGCAGATTTATCCTCAGTAAAAAGACAAATGAGTGGCTTTGAGCCCTTATAGAGTTCTTCAAGTTTTGTCATGCTTCTGTCATTCTTCTGAAGTTGTGGTAGAAGGACAACATTGACTGAGCTCATTTCAGTGAGGATCTGCAGCTGTTTCTCATGGTCTCCTGCATCACCGTGTAGATTACAGAACGCTACACACTCAGTGAATTTATCATCATATGATCCAGAGGGGCAGAACCAGGTGATCTCCACCACTCCATCCATCAGGACTCTGGTTCTGCTGCTGCCTGGGCAGTTCCTGTGGAAATACGTGTTGTGTTTCTCATTGATCAGACTGTTCATTAGCTGAGACTTAGATGAAGACACAGAGCCAAACCTGAAGAAACACACCATTGGAGTTTCTGCCTTGTAGATTGGCTCGGTTTGACTGATGGCTTCATTGTTGGTGTTTCTCATCTTCCAGCTCTTGTTGATTTGTCTGAATGTCCAGAGAGGAAACTCAATCTGTTGTGTGAATGGATCAGGAACAAGCAGAGGCAGAGCGTACTGACACTGGGACAGTTTAGTGACCATCAGCTGCTTCAGGAAACCATCAGCACAATGAAACACGGCCATCTGAACATCCATCGGGTGGATTTTCTCAGATGGGCCTGTTTCTTCATTAGACACTGACCCTAAATTGAAAAAAAAATCATCAGAATCAGCCCCTTGTTTAAATGAATCATAGCTGGCTTGATCATTGTGAACTTCCTCATTGTTCTCCTTAGTTTTGAGGTATCTTGCTCTGTAGTTCATCATCAGTAGTTTTTGTATGAAAGTCTGAATCAGCTCTTTTTCAGCACAATACTCATGGGACTGTAATGAATGTGCTAACTGAAGAACATCTGCAGCTGTCAGTTTATTGTGATGTCTGCCTTTAAGATGAAGTCTGTGAAATAGATTAATTTTTTTATTTAACACTTCCTGTTGTAGGTGTTGATCTGTACTGACTTCTGATGTTCCATAGTGCTTGTTCTCTGCCTGTTGAAGAAATACACATTTCTTATACTTTGATCATTTTGTTTTGGTCTTAAACAATTAAATGGTAATATAATTTTAAATTTTACAGTTCATAGCATTTAGTGGATTTCTCTTAAATCTCCCCATCACACTGACTGATGCTGTTCTGTGAGTAAATAAATATATTGTGGATGCTTGTGGATCGCTAGATTCATTCATGGTTTGTGAGTGTCTGTTCAACCCATTTGTGTGTTATCAGCCTTAGGGGCATGTGATGTGATCAAAATCTTATTTTATTGTATGAGTAATGAAAAGCAATTTTACCCAAAGTGACTTACAAATGAGAAGAAAAATAGAAGCCATAAGACCAACAAAGGATGAGTCTAGGATGAGTTCGAAAAAGTAGTAAGAAATAGTTTAAGTAAGTTTTTTTAAATAATGTCAAATAGCAGTGGTTCTAGAGACAAAGTTGTTCAGAATGAGGAAATCTAACAAATTATATGAATATTGTGTGTGTGTGTGTGAAACACTGTGTGTCATAAAACCCGATAGCGCCACCTAGTGGCTGATTTCTTTCAAATTTCTCACAGACCTCTAGAGTCATGAGTCAAACCGGCCCTTTGAGGCCCTTCACATCTCTATCTCAAGCCTCGTTCACATGAATCAATCTCCATTATTTTCACACCACGGACAGTGGACAATCTAGGAAAGTGTTATAAATTTTATTATACGTGCAGACACTCATAGGAGTAATTTTAAATGGCTAATTAGAAATTATAAAGGTAGAAATCGCACACGCCCCCTCAGATTTCTGAGCCAAATGGATTTTGAATCAAAGTCCCTTTAAAGAGCAGGTTTAAAGTTTAAAGTTTAAAGTGTCCTAATATTGTGTTGGAGTCCCCTACAACAGGGTTAAATGCATCTAAGGTAAGAAAACATTGTAATTTTTACAAAATATACATTTATACATGTCATTTGTCCATGATTTCAAAACCATTCGTTCGAAGCAGTTCTGAGCGTAAGGTCTGTAAACCCCTCCCTTCCATAAGCCTACTCTGCTCTGATTGGTCAGCTGTTGTGATTGGCACAGAGAGGAGTACTTGAGCAATTTATCGAGCGCTACCATCTGTGTTGCCAAGTCCGCGGTTGTTTTTGATGTTGCGGTTTGATGCGACCACAATAACGTCATATTTAGCCCATGGAATGCAAATTTACCAGGGGAACCCCAACAAAAAGTGTGTATTTTATACCCCGGAACTTGAATTTTAACAATTGGAACCGCAATTGGGCTAGTTTTGAGTAGCAATTGGGTGGGTTTTGTTGTGACAACCTGGCAACCCTAGCATGCACCTTTACATAAAACAATAGTGCTCCAATCCGTTCTTAAAATAATGACATAAAATTTTTTGTTTAACACTTATGCAAGCGAATCGTGCCCACAGCTAAAGTTTAGCTGCTAACTGCAAACACTTAACAAAACAAAAATGGTGGCTGTGCGAGTGCTGTGCTGTGGTGTGGTATCTTTGAACACAGCGTCTTTTTGACATGATGTAAACACACTAACTAGCGCAAGTGTTTGTGGGCAGGTCAGAGTGTTCGTATTTCGCGGGCAGGCGGGGATTATGCAAATGTGTTACGCAGTGACGTAGATCGGTAAAAATATAATGACTCGTTAAGGCGATTTTGAGTCGACTCTTTCTTTTGAGAGACAATATCTTTATTTATCATGCACTTTTTTGATTAACAAATTTGCAGACTCTTTACATTGAAGGATAGCTACGTTACAAACTGCAAAAGAGATATTTTTCGAAAACCCATATGACCTGCTCTTTAAGACAAGTTATTTCACTCGGCGGCAATCTTTGAAACACCTCTCGAGCTTACAAGTGCAGCTCCTCTCTCTTTGAATGGGGAAATATCAAATTCTCCAAAACTGTTCGCAAAGCTTACGATTAAATTTCATATTTGAAATCACCAATGAAATCTGACAACTGTCTCATAAATGTTGTTTCTTATGCTCCAATAGCATTTAAAAAAAGCTTATTTTTTATGGCTAGAACATTTACCACTACCTTTTATGGTAGTATTCCGAGTGCCAATGAACGGACTTTTACCACTGCAGTCTAACGCACCTTTATAATTTTATTCAGCGTTCTAAAGCCTCTCCTCCATTCACATCCATTCAAAAACTTGTGTCCATTTTTACAATAGATGCCTTAGTTGGCGAGTGCTTGGTGCTTGTGTGAGGGGATTAAAAGACCAAGTAAGCGCACACGAGGTAATCTGACTCATGTGTGGCACGTTTCGTTGAATTACTGCAGTGAATAAAGGGTTGCCACCTGTCCCAAAAAATACGGGATCGTTCTGTATTTAAAATCATGCATCCCCTATCATTATTTTATTAATTTACTAAAATTAGAACTACATTGTTCTGTAATTATTTGTCCCACTTTTATCTAAATAATCTAACACTTTTTTAAATATTTAAAAATTGTATTAATTGTATATGAGTGATAGTATTATTTATTATGTATACATAAGATTAATATAATGATATAATAACAAATAACATTAATTATAGTCTATTAATTATTGTTATTGTCTATTAATTATAGTCTATTTTGCATCAACTCGCACATAGTTGAATAAACAAATAAGGATTTTGCAGTGAGTTTTAGAAAACTAATAGCAATTATAGCCTAACTAAATCAATTTCACAAGTAGTAGAGAAGCTCATTTGCATGTGGCATAATTTTAGGGTCTAGCCCTATTCGGGCATGACTAGTTTTCCAGGGGGTCATTAGATAAATTTGTGTTTCACAGCAATGTACTTTGCGATTTTAATCCCGTCAGAATCTGCCACATCTGTGTTTTTCTCACACAACCTCTGTAATTATTCCAGAGCAAATTACCTACTGTTTTTCGGCAAACTCAGTGATCCTCTAAGAAAACTAATCCCGGCCGAATGCGAATGTCTGTGATTGCGACAATATTTTTTCACAACGCGTTTCCTTGTGTGTTTTGGCCAACATGAACTACCGTAGACGCTCTTAATAGACCGCGTGCCTCCCGGCAAAGAAATAAAAAATAAAATCAAGATCCAGATCACATAAACTGTAAATGTTACACCCTGATAAAGGGAGAACATAGGCATTAATAAATGAAGACACGGACTCGTGCTGTTGTCTCTGCATCAGTCTGTATTGTCTTTCTTTCATCAACAAATATTGAATAACAAAACTGTGAATAAATGAATACATCAGTACATTCAATCACATCAATGTGTTTGAAGCCAATAATACAAATACATCACTTCTTCTATAACATTCATAACTTAACACATTTCTGTCTGTGTCCTCTTTCATCTGCAATATGAGTTATTTCCTATATGATAATAATACAGTTCTTTTGTGTTCAATATCAATTTGTTCTTCAGTAACTTTTTCTGCTTTTCATGAATGAGATAACGATTCAGTCCCAACTCGATGAAACACTATTTCAACAGTCCATTATAAATCATTGAACTCATTATGAAATACAAAAAAAAACAAAAAAACATGAACTTCATTACACATAACATTCACTTTCAATTAACATTGTACAAATATACCCTTTTGTTCCACTTAAACCACTATGAGATACATCTCATTTAATATTCTCTACCCTAATGTTTAGCATGTTAAGCATACCAATTAGCATAGGTAACATTACCGTCTTTGTTTGCATCAAACACCATGCTTTCACATATATTCACGGAGATAACCAGTCTCATGACAACTACATCGCTTTAACTCATAATGAAAATACATTGTTATGTATTTCATACCTGACAACCTGATAAAGGGAGAAAATAGACATTAATAAATGAAGACACGGACTCATGCTGTTGTATCTGCATCAGTCTGTATTGGCTGTGACGCACAGCAGAGCTTCCCCTAGTGGACACTCCAAAAATTACACTTAAATCACATTGATTCTGTCATATTTTTTATGATCATATCGATCTTTTTAAACCTCTACACACTCCCCCTCAAAATTTAGATGTAGTCCCGACATCTTGTAATTCACAATTTTTCAATCTTATTAAGTTTCCTTTCACATGGGCTATTCTGATTTTACTAAATCAATGTTTTCTTAGCCTGCATTATGCCACAGTCTATCTCTGATATCCGTACACAAGATATGGGTAGGGATTATAAAATGGTACTGGACTTGGCCATGGTGGAAGTGCTTGCTGCCCAAGGTAAGGCATATTCGGATACTGCTGAACTTCACCACTACAGCTTGTATTATAGCAAGTGGGGGTTCAGAGATGATCATTAGTGAACAGTCGAGGGGCTCGTCTTTCTCTCTGAGGTCTAGGATGTCTCTCATCTAATGTAGAATCATTGCATGGCTAAGGTGATACTGTGCTCTCAACTTCAAAACGTTCTTCCTCACAGTATTCCATCCCTAAAGAGTCTTCAATTTGAATCAGCTCTCCTTCATCATCTTCACCAGGGCATTCTTCCTGTGAAAACTCGGTAGTGTCTACTTCCTCTCCCACCCTCTCAACATCATTAGTATGCCCAGCCAGTCCACTTGTCTCCCTTTCTAACTTGTCAGCACTTCCGTCACTCCCTTCTCCACGGTGCTGCTGGTTTGGTGAGTAATAAAGACAGAACTCGTTCTCATCCTCTTCTTCATGTTCATTAGTCTTTACAGTATCACTTCTCTTTTGCTTTGTCATCCTTTTTCCTAAAATAGCAGCTTTGTCAGATTGCCCTTCCATTGGCAGGTGATCACATGACAGCAAGAGGTTACCTTTCCTACCTCTGGCTTCACTTCATAAATCGGGAGATCTTCTTTCATTGGCCTCACGACAGTATGGATGGTCTCTTCCCAGTGGTTGTGCAATTTGCCCATGCCTCCTCCTCTTGGTGTCAGGTTTCTAACAAGTACACGGTCACCCGGAAACAAGGATGTACTTCTCAGTTTACTATCGTAATGTTTTTTACTTTGCAATGCTGCTTTTTCCACATTCTCTCTTGCTATTTCATGTGCTTCTTGCATCTGTTCTATCCATCTCTGCAGGTATTCCTGGTGGCTCACTGTTCCAGTGCTTTCTTACAAACCAAAGAGTAGATCCACTGGTAGTCTGGGATGCCGGCCATAAAGAAGATAAAAAGGTGAGAATTCTGTTACCTCACATTTGGTGCTATTATATGCAAAGATCAGATTATTCAGAGGTTCCTTCCAGTTCGTCTTTTGCTTGTCTGTTAATGTTTGGAGCATTTGAAGTAAGGTCCTGTTTAATCTTTCCATCTGACCGTTCCCTTGCGGGTGGTACGGCGTTGTTCTGGAACTGAGGACACCAAAATTCTTTGTCAGCTGGGCTAGAAGCTGGTTTTGAAATTCACCACCTTGGTCGTGGTGTATTCGTCTCGGAAATCCAAATCGCAGGGCATAGTCATTAAACAGGCGATCAGCTACCGTTCAGCAGACTTTGATGTTGTAGGATACGCCTGCGCAAACCGTGTAAAGTGGTTGACTATCACTAATATGTATTCGTATCCCCCCTTACATTTATCTAAATGAAGAAAGTCAACAGATACAAGCTCAAAAGGCTGGGTTGTGATAATATTAGTGGGAGGAGCCCTTGTCTCCTTACAAGGCTTCTTTTGCTTCAAGTAAGGACAGCTTTTTGCAACATAATGTTCATTATATTGTTGCATACGGGGCCAAAAGAAATGGTCTCTGATCAGTGATGTCGTGTGGTCAACCCCTTGGTGACCCATCCCATTGTGCAATTCCTTCATTACCACTGCCTTGTATCTTTCAGGTAGGACAAGTTGGTGTTGATTGGCTGTCTTCTGCTTAAGGATACCATCCTCATCAAAATGAAGCTTCTCCCATTCACGAAGAAGACATCGGCTCTGAGGGGTAAGAGACTTCATTTGTTGGGCACGAGGTCGCATAGCAGTTCATTTATATTTTATTACAGGCCCGATGTGTGGATCCTCCTTTTGACTCTGTTGTATTTCAGCCACAGGAAGAGGCTCATTGTCATCCCTGTCAGGCAAACAAGGAGACGAAGCAGATACTACCCAAGATGAGACATCTTCCTGTACGTCTACAGCATGTGCAGTGGCTGCAATGCAGTCTGATGACATTTCCTCTGTGCAATCTTGATAAACTGTCGGCATCTGCATTTTCTCAGCCAGGACGGTACTTTATTGAAAAATGGAAGTCCGCTAACTCCGCTACCCACCTACAGCCGGTTGCATTGAGTTTTGCACTGGATAGTACATACGTGAGAGGTTTATTATCGCTAAAGACTGTGAATGTAGGTGCATAGTATAAGTAGTATTTAAATTTCTCCGTTATTGACCACTTGAGGGCGAGAGACTCTAATTTACCCGAATGGAGGTGGTAATTTCATTCGGCAGCTGTGAGGGTCCGAGATCCATACGCTATTACACGGAGCTTACCCCCCTGCTTTTGGTACAATACTGCCCCCAGACCTTGGTTTGAGGCATCCGTATGAAGAATAAAGGGCAGCGAAAAGTCCGGGAATCCGAGGATAGGTGGTTCGACCAGATGATTGATACATTTTTCCAAGATCTCTTGGTGGTCATCCTTCCAAACCAGGGCTGGAACACAATGAACCGTAACCGTTCTGTTAATCTGTCAATGATTTAAGTGAAATATATTTTGTGTATATGCCTATATATTCCTTTTTATGTAAGCCTATAGTTTTATTCTGTTTTCTCCGTTCACAGAAGCGCTGCAGGTGCGTGTGATCTGTTGAATCCTTCTTACACTATCCTCGGATAAACTCTAACGCCGGTGCATTGCCATTGCGACTTACCTATGATGAGTTCACAGCTGAGCGCGGGCATTTCACTCGTTGGATGCGTAAGCGTCACATTTGCATGCCGTACTACTGGAATTCGTGTTTGGTTGACAGCAAATTTCAAATATTAAATAGAACGATAAAATAA